AATCGAAGACAGTTCTATCAAAACAGTGAGTAGACCAGTTCCTCGGAATCTCTTAATGAGAGAATGGAAAATCACTTATTTGCTTCAGACAGTTGCTCCTTGTGAGGAGACAGCAAGACAATGATTTTCTGCAAGTTTCAACATTCGGACATTACAGGATTGCCATCTTGTTTGCAACTGTGGCAGAGACTTTTAAAGGGCTGCTTTTAAGCTGTGAGAGAACTTTGGAATTACAGATTTGAAAATGCAGGGTGAGTCATCTTCAATCCTGAATGGAAAAAAAATTGATCAAAAGTTTAAGAATTTAAAGAATCTGAAACAAACAGCAAGGAGCTAGATAAGATTTTAATTTCAGAACGTTACAGAGTAAAAATACTAAAACTTTTACAAATACAATAATTATAAAGCACTAACAGTTTCTTACGGGAAATAGACCGATTTTGGTTATTACAAGACATATTTCATATATTTCATGATTTCAGAAACTGGACACTAGAGGGAATTATGTTTTTTAGGTAGAGGAATCACACAGGCCTATAAGATGATGCAAAACATGACAATAAAAATATTGAAGGAAACTTTTGAAGAATGGAATCAGAAAACAGTAGCCTCAATATCAACAATGTCTGTACTGTAATAATGTCTGCTTCTATGGCTAGACTATGTCCAAAAGATATTACTAAAGAAATTTCAGATGGAGAACAAATCTTATCTGACAAAATAGAGATCATATTGAAAGTGAATTTACAACTGATAGGCTGAAAGAATGATTTAGAAATGAATGTTTCACTAAATCTACAAAAGAAACTGGCTGAGATGTTGAAATTTAGAAGGGAAATACAAATGACAAACCAAGAGAGTGACTTAGATAATTTTTTCCAATTAGATTTACAAAAAAGGCTTGTTAAAATATTGAAGAACTCTGTGCTTTGGGACAAAGAAGAAATGAAGAAAAATCAAATCCTACAACAATATTTGAATGAACTAAAGATTAAGTCTGTTAGAAGTAAAAGGAAGGAATACAAAGTTGGTTTATTAGATCAAGATTAAAGCAAGATGTGCTGGTACTTCTGGTTATCTTTTCTGGACTTTCTATTGACACCAGGACTGAAAAGATAATGTTTTATGAATTTGTCTATAGATAAGAGATGGGACATGGGATGAAGAAATAAATATTTGTAACTTTAGAGAGGGGGAAAAATTATGATAATCCACTGACCATACTTTTGACAAATTAGATTTCTTATATAGGGAAGGCAGGAAAAGGGAGACAATAATTTTAATACCGTATAATGAGTGAATAGGAAAAAAAAGATAAATTTGCCATTTTAACCATATGCAAATTATATTAAGCCACTTACTGTACAAAGGTGTGACTACATACTTTTAAGATGCATCATGCCAGATTTCATAGCAAAGCAAGGAGAAAAGTATTTCTAAAAACAAAGTATGACACTGCTTTTCATGTCCATTTCATTATATCAAATAGTAATTTATTTTCAAATAAAATTTGAGAAGAATCCTGCAGTAGCTCAACAACCCATTTAGTCCAGCACTTTGTGTCACATAATGCTTGACCAATTTTATTATTAGGTTTTTTTTGGAAACCTTACCAACTAGGAAAGGAGGATGGTAGCTCTTCTATACTGTTATTCTCTGACAGCTAATAATCAAGACACACAATACTTTGTTCTTAAGCTAGTAGCATCAAGATAAGTATCTCTTGGTAGCCCCAAACTCCATGGATATGTTGTAGATTTATCATACCTGGGTCACAACTGAATGACCAACCACTAGATGGTGCCAAAGACATACAGAAAACTAGGTAATTCTTTGGGTTGAAGGCATCTAGATTTTCCCAGGCCCTATTTGGGGGCTCCATACATACAGATTTTTAAAACCATCTACAATTAGCCATCCTGTTTGCTTTGTTCCACCACTAGGGATGGCAAGAGAATTAGGGACAAGGTTTCTATAGCTTTATAGCCAGATTCATACAAAAAGCATTTAAGTCATAATGTAGTTTGTTTCGATTTTGCTTAGCATGTTGCATGAATTTGCTCAATAAGAATGCTAACCTATGGTTTATGGATTAATATGTTAGCTAATTAATTTATTCAAACCATAATAAAATAAACATGATTTAGCAATGTGTACAAGCACATCCTAAAGGATCCAACATGAGCTCAACATACAAGTTACATCTGCCAAAATTTTCCCTTCCTTAGATATGAAAGATACAGATATTTTTATACAATACCAGCCACACTTGTATCTGCCCAAATAAATAAAAATTATGAGAGGAAGCAGATACTAATTTGCAGTGAACACTCTGCTGAGAATGAAACATTATCTTGAAGAATGCAGACCTAATCTGGCTTTATGACTATGTGGGGTTGTAATTCCCAACATTCGTAATCAGTATAACTTTGAAAAAAAATAGGATTAATGTAAGCTATAGCAGTAAAGCAAATATAACAATAAAAACCAAACAGGTACGCGAGTTCTCTGTGCTTGAATTATAGAAGCATTTCTATTTCATGTATTCTGCAATGGCCTCTTTATTCATTTTCTGAAGAGCTTCCAGAAACTATCTTCTGTCCATATGACTAAGAAAGAAAAGATTTTTTACCTATTACATTAAAATCCACTGGCAATTCTTGTGTAATTCTTGATACTACACTGAAACTGGGGGGGGGGGGGGGGGGGCTA